AGTGGAAAGAAAAGGGAGCTCTCTGGGGTCTCTTTTACAAGGTCACTAATCTCATTCATGAAGCTCTGCCCTCAGGATCTAATCAGCTCCTGAAGATCCTACCTCCTAATACCATCACCTTGGGGCTAGGATTTCAACATGGGAATGGGGCAGGGGAGGTTGGCCATTCAGTCCACATTGGCCTCCTAAACTGAGTTGTTCTTAAGAAAGTATGGGGCCCAACTACGATGAAGTTAAAACCTGAACGCATATGGAAATAGAACCCAGCTGTGGACAAGAGCTGTGACAAAGGTCTAGGAGTTGAATGTATTCATCGGTACTTTGGCTAAGGAAAGGGGATGGCTTACAAAACAGCTTGCAAAAGTATAAACTCCGAAGTAATAATAACTTCAGAGTAGGTCCAGGGCCCAGAGCCTACATTCACTGGGGCCTTATAAAATAAGCTTATTTTGGGGAAAAAAATTTTTTTAACTTACAGTAAGTTGTAAAGATAGTAGAGAGAGTTTTGTTTTATTACTCTTTACCCAGAGTTCTTGACTGTTACACTGCTTACGTAACTACGGCACATTTGCTAGAACTAAGAGATTAACAGCGGCATATTTCTAGGAACTGAATTCCAGACTTTATTTGGATTTCACCAGTTTCACCAGTAATGTTCTAACCTTGGGTCTTTTTACATAATGTTTACAACAAGAAGCCAAAGGACCAGAAAGGCAGTGTGCAACCCAGTAGGACACTAGGTTCTAGTCCCAGCTCTTATTCATGCTAACTACAGAAACTTTGAGTTCGTTTTCTGAGCTTGTCTCCTCTCTGACATACTCCATGTCACAAATGCCGATTCTAGATGCAATTCCAGTTTACCCTTCATCTCTCTGCCTGAACACTTCTCTGACAGCTACTAGCTACAGTGAAGGAAGAGAGATCTCCGACTTGGCAGTGACTCCAGCTGAGACCCCCCCAGTTAGAGAAGAGAGTCCCTTCGGGAATTTCCAGATTTCAAAATTGCTTCAAAACCCACATGTGTCTCAGATGGCTGGAGGATGGACAGCCTTTCTTCAGGGGTCTGAGAAGGACACACTGCAGCAGGGACCAGAGTTGCCCATAAACATCCATTTTTCCCTTCTTCCTGGGTGTGCATTACATTCCTGAGGCTCTCTTGAATTAGGGGGACCATGCAACTAAGCTCTAGCCAACAGAACATGAGTGGAAGTTTGCACCCCTTCTAGAGGGGGTGGGTTATATCTGCTAAGCAGTCTCCCAAGCTTTGCTCGCCTCACTACACCATCCCAGCAACCTTGGAGGCCGTGTTAGCACTGCCATCAGCCTGGTCCCTAATCGAGTGCACGGAATAAAGCATGCCCCTCCCACTACCCAGCCTGAAACTACCCTGGACGTTACATGAGGAAGGAGAAAAAAAAAAAATTCCTATTATAATAAGTTAGCCCATTTGGTGGCTGTCATGACAGTTTAGTCTAACACAGTGCCAAATGTCATTCCATTAGAGCAAGACCTTGCTTCTGGATCTGTGCTCGGGGCCTCAGGTGCATGGAACTGAGGTGACCACATGCCCACATTCATCCACAAAAGGCCTCTCTTCTCTTTCCCCTTCCCTCCATCATTCCCCCCTCCAGTTCTATCCTGTCCCCTTTCACAGACCCTATTCCAGTGAGTTAAGATATATACATCCCCCTTAAAAATTGTTGCTTAGTGTGTTTAATTTACTTAATTAATTTACTTGGTTTTTGCTGTAAATTGAATTCTTTATTTTCCTTACCTGGAGTCCATCATGTCACAGCAGTTCCTAACAGCCTGCATCTGACTGCTTGTATAATATTCTAGCTGTGCATATACCACTTTTTATTTACCAATTCCCTTAGGGACAGACATCTAAGTTGCTTCCAGCTTCTTGCTACCCAAACTATACATAGATAAACATCCTTTTATGTTACTCCTTGTGGATCTGTGCAAGCTTCTCTGAAGGATATAGCCAGCAATGGAAGTGCTTTGATGTGCGGTGTATTCATACTTAATGCATTAGTTACCTATTGCTATATAACAAATTACCTCAAAACTCAGCAGCTTAAAACAATAATACCCATAGAATGAGATAAAATGTTGGTAAATCATGTATCTGATAAGAGACTTGTAACCAGAATATATAAAGAACCATAAGACTGTGTATGTGTGTGTGTGTGTGTGTGTGCACATGTATGTATGACAGTCCAACTGAAAAATGGGCAAAGGATGAATAAACATTTCTCCAAAGAAGAATACATAAAAATGTTAAGTAACGTTACGCATTGGAAAAATATGACCACTTCATCCCTGCAGGCAATGGCTATATCAAGGCAGAAAGGAAAAGGTGTTGGCAAAAGTATGGAGAAACTGGAACACTCCTACACCTCTTTGGAAGTTGGGCAGCTCCTCGAAAAGTTAAACATGGGGTTATCTTATGACCTAGCAATGTGATTCCAAGAGCAATGAAAATGCATGCCCATACAAAGACTTGTACATAAATGTTCACGACAGCATCATTCACAACCCACAGAAAGTAGAAACAATGCAAATGTCCAACAACTAATGCATGAATAAACTGTATGCTATCCATAGAAGGGAATATTATTCAGCCAAAAGGAGGAATGAAGGACCGAAATGTCTACAACACAGATGAAACTTAAAAACATTATGCTCAGTGAAGAGTTAGACACAAAAGGTCACATACTGTATGATAGCCCCATTTACACACTATATGACATGTCTCTAATAGGCAAATCTAGAGCAACAGGGAGTAGATCAGTAGTTGCCAGGGCACAGGGGAGTTGGGGACAAGTGGGGAGTGATGGATGCCAATGGATACGAAGTTCTTACATTCACAAAGTGATCCAAATGTTTTAAAATTAATTGTGGTGATAGGTGCACAACCCTGTGATATCTAAAAACCACTAATTGTACTTCATGGGAAATGAGTAAACTGTATGGCGTGTGAGTTACATCTCAATATATGTTTTTTAAAAATGAACATCTAGGGGCACCTGGGTGTCTCAGTCTGTTAGGTGTCTGCCTTTGGCTCAGGTCGTGATCCTGGGCAACTGGGATCAAGACCTCCATCAGGCTCCCTGCTCAGTGAGGAGCCTGCTTCTCCCTCTCCCTCTGCCTGCCAGTCCCCCTGCTTGTGCTCTCTCTCAAATAAATAAAATCTTTTTTTAAAAAATAAACACCTGTTATCTCACTGTTTCTTTGCATCAAGAATTTAGAGCTAAGTGATTCTGGCTCAGGATTTCTCATGAGGTTGTGGTCACATGTCGATCAGGGCCACATTCATCTAAAGGTCTGAATGGACGTAAAGTATCCACTTCCAAGGTGGTTCACTCACACCAATGGGTAACTCAGTGCCATCTACTGGTGAGAGGCCTCAGCTCCTCCTCTCCACATGGACCTCTCCAGATGGCTGCTTGCGTGTCCTCATGACATGGCAGCCAGCTTCTTCCAAAGCAAGGGATCTGAGAAAGTACAAGCCAGATTCAATGTCTTCTATGACCTAGCCTCAGAAGTCACACGTTTCCAGTATATCCTATTGGTTACACAGGACGGCCCTATTCATTATGGGAGGGGACTACACAGGGCTTGTATACTAGGAGCCAGGGATCATCAGGGGCCATCTTGGAAGCTCACTATCAATACTGGATGAATAGGAAGACAATAATATGACAGCCAACAATTTTGTGACACATACTACATGCAAGCACTGTTCTAAGGTCACAATAAACCTCTGAGGTAGATTATCTCCATTTCACAGATGAAGAAACTAAGGCACAAAGAAGAAGCTTACCAAGATCACACAATTAGTAAAAGACGTAGCTGGGATTCAAACACAGGCAGTATAGCTCCAGAGACACACTCTTAAAAGCTACATAACACTGCATCCAGGATATTACTTAATTCCAATTAATTGTTGCCCATCTGTTCTCCGAAATGGATACAACAGATGAAACTCCCCTGAAGTTTTCATTCCCCACAAGAGCTAGGTCTCTTACTTTTGCCAAGCCAATGGATATAAGTAGGAACACATTAACATTTTATTTTTTGTGTTTCTCTAATTACCAATGAGATAATATACTTATTAGTCATTTGGGTTTTCCCTTTACATTTTACCTATTTATATTCTTTGCCTATTTGTGTGTGTGTGTGTGTGTTTTTAAAAGATTTCATTTAAGAGAGAGAGAGCAAGCACAGAGAGAGTGGAGAGGGAGAAGCAGACTGCTTGCTGAGCAGAGAGCCCGATGTGGGGCTCGATCCCAGGACCCTAAGATCATGACCTGAGCCAAAAGCAGATGCTTAAGTGACTGAGCCACCCAGGCACCCCTTATTTTGTGTTTTGTCTATTGTGTTTTGTGTTCCTTCTATAGCTAGTCTTTTATATATGCAATCCCTTGTCGGTTTTAAACATTGCAAATATTTTCTCCTAATCTATACACATCTTTAGCTTTGACTATGAGATGCTCTGTTAACCAGAAATCTTTAATTATGAAGTAGTCGAAGGTATCAAATCTTATAGATCGAGCTTTGGGGATATTATTCAACAAATCTATCCTCACCCCAAGGTCAGAATGACATTCTCTGATTTTTCCTACTGGCTTTAACATTTTACCTTTCATTTAGATCTTTAAGCGCTTTGGAATGTCTTTGTTTTTATACGATTTGAGGTAGGGATCCAACTTCATTTTTATCCATACATAAGCCAATTTTCTAAGCATCATTACCTATTTCCTCCCCACTAATTTGTAACATTACCTTTATCATATACCTTGTCTCCAAATAGCTATGTCTATTCCCAAGTCTAGCACAAATTCGTATTTTCTAAGAGGAAGGACCCATCACTGAAGTTTCTACTCACACTGCTTTCTAGATTAATGAAAAATCCAACCACCGCCCTCCGAGATCCATGGGAGGTTCATCATTAGCTTTTTTCCCCAAAACAGAATACCCAGTTAAGAACGTGATTTTGAAAAAATAAATGCATGTTTATTAAAAAACAAAAACCCTAACCAAGAACAAACCCTGGGACACTGAAAAATCAGCGCTTCCTCTGAAGGCCAACAACAGCCAGTGTTGGAGCACCTAAAGAAGGCCAGGTGCCTCAGTCCGAACATCAGGTCTCAAAATATTCTTCTGCAGTCGAAACTGGCATTCAAGTTGCCGGTCTGTGTGGACCTGATTATTAGCATAGACAACCGTTACAGCTGGATGTCTGGCTGCCCTATATCCACTACCACAACCCACAGCCACCCCACAGCTTCAGAAAAATTACATATCCTCAACACTCCACTTGTAGGCAAGTTCCTCCACCGCCTTCTTGCTGGCGAGCCTGGCAAAGCGCTTCTGCTCAAATCCATTGGATCTGCAATCAAGAGACACTGATCAGCCAGAATCCTGAACTGGACATTTTTTTTTGAAAAAAGAGAAGAGTTCACAACGTAATGAATAAGGAGGAAAGTAAGGCAGTCATGTGAAAATATTTAAGGCATATGCAACAGAATCAAAAAGCCAAAATACATAACTCATCCTTTTATTAGTTTTTGTTCAGCCCCTTCAGCACTCTTGACAACTGTTTCAACATTTGCCACTCTACAGGCCCAACGCACTCTCAGCTGATGGCTGCGTCTTATCATTCATCCATTCATCATACAGGCACTGAGTGAATTCTCATTACAGGCGTATCTCATTCAACTGCACCTCACTTTACCGCACCTCAGAATGCATTTTTTACAAACTGAAGGTCTGTGGCAACCCTGCATCAAACAAGTCTATCGGCGCCCTTTTTCCAACAGCATTTGCTCACTTCGTGCCTGGGTCACATTTGGTAACTCTTGCAGTATTTCAAACTGTCTCATTATTGGCTATGGTAATCTTCAAACAATGATCTTTGATATAACTGTTGTAAACTGGGGGTGCCATGAATTGTGCCCCTATAAAATGGCAAACTTGGTCAATAAATGTTGTATGTGTTCTGACTGTTCTGCTGACCGGCCATCCCCCCATTTCTCTCCCTCTCCTCTAGCAGCTTCATTCCCTGAGACACAACAATACTGAAATTAGGCCAATTAACGATCCTACAATGGCCTCTAAGTGTTTATATAAAAGGAAGAGCCACATATCTCACTTTAAATCAAGAGCAAGTGAGGAAAGCATGTCAAAAGCCAAGACAGGCCAAAAGCTACACCTCTCACGCCAGTTAGTCAGGTTGTAAACACAAAGGACAAGTTACGGAACCAAATGAAAAGGGCTACTCCAAGGAACATACAAATGATAAGGAAGCAAAACAGCCTTCCTGCCGATAATAAAGAAAGTTTTAGTGGTCTGGATAGAAGATCAAACCAGCTAAAACATTCCTTTAAGCCAAAGCCTCATCCAGAGCAAGGCCCTAGCGCTTTTCGAATCTGTGCACACTGAGAGAGGTGGGGAAGCTGCAGAAGAGAAGTTTGAAGCTAGAGGGGCTGGTTTGTGAGGTTTAAGAAAGAAGCTGTCTCCATAACATAGAAGTGGAAGGAAAAGCAGCAGATGCCTGTGTAGAAGCTGCAGGAAGTTATCCAGAAGATCTAGCTAAGACAGTCAGCTCCCCTGAACAGATTTTCAATGTAGATGAAACGTATTCTACTGGAAGACGCCTCTAGGACTTTCACAGCTAGCGAGGGTAAGTCAATGCCTGGCTTCAAAGCTTCAAAGGACAGGCAGACTCTTGCTAAAGGGTTAACGCAGCTAGTGACTTTAAGTTGAAGCCACTGCTCATTTGCCACTCCAAAAATCCTGGGCCTCTTAAGAATACACTAAATCGACCCTGCCTGAGCTCCGTAAATGAAAAAACAAAGCCTGGAGGACAGCACAGCTGCTTACAACATGGTTTCCCAAATATTTTAAGTCCACTTTTCAGACCCACTGCTCATTAAAAAAGATTCCTTTCAAAAGATTACCTTTCACTAACAATGCACCTGGTCACCCAAGAACTCTGATGGAGATGGACAACGAGATGACGAGATGAATGTTTTGTTGTGGTTTTTTTTTTTTTTTTGCCTGCTAACACAATAGCCATTCTGCGGCCCATGGATCAAGGAGTCATTCTGACTTTCAAGACTTATTATTTTTAAGGCTACTACTGCCATACACAGTGATTCCTCTGATGGATGGGGACAAAGTAAATTGAAAGGCTTCATCATTCTCGATGTCATTAAGAACATTTGTGAGTCACAGGAGAGGACAATATATCAACATTTAACAGGAATTGGGAAGAATTTGATTGCATCCCTCATGTAGACCTGGAAGGGTTCAAGACTTCGGTGGAGAAAGGAGCTGCAGATGTGGCGAAAACAGCAGGAGAACCAGGATCAGAAGTGGAACCTGAAGATGGGCCTGAGGCGCTGCTATCTCATGATAAAACTCGACTGGACAAGGAGCTGTTTCTGACAGATGAGCAAAGAAAGTAGTTTCTTGAAATGGAATTGACCCCTGGAGAAGATGCTGGGAAGACCACTGAAGTGACAACAAACAATTCAGAATATTACATAACTGTAGCTAATAAGCTGTAGCAAGGTATGAGAGGATGGATTCCAATTCTGAAAGAAGTTCTACTGTGGATAAAATGCTATCAAAAAGCATCGCAGGGGCACCTGGGTGGCTCAGTAGGTTAAGCCTCTGCCTTCCGCTCAGGTCATGATCTCAGGGTCCTGGGATCGAGCCCCGCATCAGGCTCTCTGCTCAGCAGGGAGCCTGCTTCCCTTCCTCTCTCTCTGCCTGCCTCTCTGCCTACTTGTGATCTCTCTCTCAAATAAATAAATTTAAAAAAAAAAAAAAAAGCATCGCACACTACAGAGAATTTGTTCATGAAAGGAAGAGTCGCATGATGTCACAAACCTCACTGGTGTCTTATTTTAAGAACTTGCACAGCCACCCCAGCCTTCAGCAACCTCCACCCTGCTGAGTCAGCAGCCAACCACATCGAGGCAGGACCCTCCACCAGCAAAAAAATTATGACTCACTGAAAGCTCAAAAGATGCTAATCATTTTTTAGCAATTAAGTATTTTTTAATTAAGGTATACACATTGGGGTTTTTTATAGACATAATACTATTGCACACTTAGTAAATTATGGTATAGTATACATATAACTTTTATCATACTGGGAATCAAAAAATTCATCTGTCATATTCACTTAATTGTGGTGGTGTGAAATCAGACCCCCAATCATCTCTGAGAGGTGCTTGTGTATACTAGGCACTGTGTCATGAAAATGAGTACGACAGAGAAGCAGTTCTGATGAACTCCGACAAGTGGAGGATACTGACATTTATACCAACAAGTGAAATGAAAAGCATAAACTGTGGTGGAGATATGCATTGGGTAGCTTAGAAACAGAATGGGGATCTCACTCAACTTGGGAAAGGGATGAACGGGAATGGTCAGGAAGGGTTTTGTGGAGGGAGCCCCTAAGCTAAGTCTGGAAAGACAGAGCTAACCACAGGGTTGGAGGTAGGGAAGGCCAGAAAGGTCAGGAGAGCATTTCAGGACAGAGCACAAAATGACTAACAAGAACAAAGTGCAAAAATAAGAAGCAGCTTGCTACATGGAGGGAACCAGAGGCAAATTGGCATAGCTAGAGCCAAAGTATGACAAAGGGAATAGCACGAGACAGAGTTAAAAAGCTCAGATTTCGGGGCGCCTGGGTGGCTCAGTGGGTTAAAGCCTCTGCCTTCAACTCGGGTCATGATCCCAGGGTCCTGGGATCGAGCCCCGCATCGGGCTCTCTGCTCAACAGGGAGCCTGCTTCCCCTTCTCTCTCTCTCTGCCTGCCTCTCTGCCTACTTGTGATCTCTGTCAAATAAATAAATAAAATCTTAAAAAAAAAAAAGCTCAGATTTCATCCAGTAGGGTTAGACTTAAAATAGGAGCGGAAACCACATTTCAAAGAGCTCCCTCCAACGGAGACTGGAGGCAGGAAAGTTAGTCCAGGGTATCGGCAACAGGTGATGAAAGCGGCGATAAAGGAGACCCAGTGACAGGCTCGCTATGTAAGAGCAGAGGAGGAGGAGGTAAGTTTAACTTGCAGGTTAGTGATTTTCAGGACCAGATGAATGAGGCCGCACTAAGCAGGACAGAACATAAGAGGAGGAGCCGGTTAGGGGAGCTGAGGTTCGTGAGCTCAGTTCTGAATGCCTTGCACTTAAGGTGCCTCAGCTACACAGCAACAGAGCGATCCGGTGCGCAGCTATACACACCAGACGGAACCGCAGACACAGATTTGGGGATCACATACATATCGGTGGTAACTGAAGGTGTGTCTAAAGATTCAGCGAGAAAGAGCTCATGAAGTGAGAACAGCTAAGGTTAGAGATGGAGCCCCTAGCAGCATTAAAGCGGTATGAAGAGGAAGAGAGCTCATAAAGGTGACCAATAATAAGAGAAAAGAACCAGGAGTAGAGTGTAATGAGTTTCAAGGAGTAGACCACAACGCCCTTTAATACTATGAATTCTGTCTACTTCTATAAACTTCTTAAAAGAGCTTGTATTCACTGTCTATACTTCCTCACTTTCCATTCACTCCTTAACACATTAAACCCTGGCTTTTGTCTCACCACGCCACAGAGCTAGCACTCTTTCAGGTCACCAGTGACCTTCGTTATTGCCAAATGCAGTGATTCCTCCCTCTCCCCAAGTCAGTCACCAGATCCTGCCACCTTCTCCCGTGAACACTTGCGCACCCTCCTCTCTCCATTCCGCTCCCACTGCCACAGTTCAGACCTGTCTCCTGCACCCTGACCTATTGCAACAGCCTGTACCTTGTCTCTCTACTTCCAGACCTGCGCCTTTCACGTGTTTTTCAGATTACTGCCATAACGATGCCTCTATCTAAAATGTGGAGCAGTTAATCCTTCAGTGGCTCTCCTTTGCCTTTAGAGTGAAGACCACTCCTCAGAAATGCTTCCGAAGCCTATTGTGACCAGGTCCCTGCTCACCTTTCCAGTCCATCTCATACACTCCACTCTACATTTCATGCTATCCAACAACAGCGAACTGCTTATGAAGGCCCCTCCATAACACTATGATGTTCTATATTCTTGTGACTTTACACATAAAGGACCCTCTTGGGCGCCTGGGTGGCTCAGTGGGTTAAGCCACTGCCTTCGGCTCAGGTCATGATCTCAGGGTCCTGGGATTGAGTCCTGCATCGGGCTCTCTGCTCAGTGGGGAGCCTGCTTCCTCCTCTCTCTCTCTCTCTGCCTGCCTCTCCATCTACTTGTGATCTCTCTCTGTCAAATAAATAAATAAAATCAAAAAAAAAAAATAAAGGACCCTCTTCCTTACACCTCCTCCCTTTCCTTCTGTTGTCTGGTGACAGACACCCCTTAA